AGCAGGATATTAGAATTGTCTGAAGGCTTAAGCCTTCAGTGAACTTTCCAGTAAACCTAATAACCAAACTTGTCCCTAACAAAAGGATACGGATTGTGTAGACTGGTGTGGTATGAGATTTCTTAGGAAAGGTTTTCATTAAATTGAAGTGTTACTATCAACTGTTCCAAGAACTGTTTTATTAAAACAAGACAGACAGCAAAAATAAACCTACAGAGAGCCTGAAATGATCCTTGTGTTTTTGGTGCACAACTGAAGTAAAATGCTGGTCACTTGGTTGGGGAAGACGATTTTCTTCATCCAAAATATCCAGTATCCCTACTAATTTTGCTTCAATCAAATCTGTTAATAAAGCAAAACATATTTACAAAACTTGAATATATAAACTCATACTAGAACTGAACATTAAATGTCTAAGTGCTGATGATCCAATTTTGTATAAAAGCATCCAGGGAAAGCCATTAACACAAAATACAGAAACTCACTGCAAATTAATTTATGTATCTGTGTAGGATTCCAACTAAATCAACAAGTTCTAATTCACAGAACATGAGGAGAAAAGACCAGGCAAGGATTGTTAAGATTTTTACTCTTAAGTCTCAAGTTGAATTTAGCCATCTAACTTCCCAAAAGGTGCCTAGATGTTCCCATGGTATGATCACAGATCTTTATGGGATAATTGCTTAGATTGTTAAGGAATTTTTTTTGAGCTTCCATCCATGTTTCAACACATGTCAAAACTAAAAGATTAAAATTTCCATTGACAACAGGATCCAGGGAGAAAAGTGAAATGAATTTGTTTTAGGAAAGGCAAAACAGATTTCAGCATACAGTGGTAGTTTCACAACTTGTGTTACAAGAACAACTTGTTGCATATGAGTATGTTGCCTTGACCTCTCTCTCATGTATGTGTTGCCTTGACCCCTCTCAATCTCTGTCAGCTTGAAAGCTGACAGAGATTCATGCCCTTGACACTGTTAGATGCAAGAATTTTGCAGCTTTTGAAATGTTTTTCCCTTATCTATGAAACTGTTCTTGTAAGAGGAATTTTTACTATCTACTTTTTTTCTGTGGAAAGGATGAAATGACTAATGCTTGTACTCCAGCAATGCCTAGGAACTCTTACCACAGACTGTGAATGTATGAGGCTATTTATAAGATCATGAAATTACTAGAGCTACACATATTTTGCTTCTTCTCCTTGAAGCTTTATTTCTCCATGACACTAACGAATAACTTGACATTTCAAGAAGCACATACCTATACAGTCCTGATTATCTACATAGCGCACTTCATTAACCCCCAGGCCTTCTTTCTGGTAGAGTTCTTGTTCCTAAAGAAAAAAAACGCAATTGAAAAGAGAAAATACCACTCATCTTTAGAGTTCTTGTTCCTAAAGAAAAAAAATGCAATTGAAAAGAGAAAATACCACTCGTCATATTTTTTTTTTTACTGACCCAAAATTTATTTTTTTTTAATAAACATGAAAGCTTTTAAAAATATATCATCCCCCTTTATTTGGCATTGGTGAGGCCACACCTTGAATACCACGTTCAAGCTTTGGGCCCCTCACTTTAAAAAGGACATTGAGGCACTGGAGTAAGCCCAGCTAAGGGCAACGAGGCTCAGAAAAGGTCTGGAAAATATATCATATGAGGAAGGGCTGAGGGAGTTGGGTTTGTTTAGCCTTGAGAAGAGGCTCAGGGGTGACCTCATGGTTCTGTACAACTTCCTGACAGAGGCTGTAGAGAGGTGAGAGATGGACTCTTCTGCCATGGCTGCAGGGAGAGGACTAGAGGGAATGGCCATAAGCTGAGACAGGGAAGATTCAGATTAAGTGTTAGAAAATAATTTTTTCTCTGTTAGGGTGTTCAGGTACTGGAATAGGTTGCCCAGGAAGGTGATGGAGTCACCATCCCTGGAAGAGAGTAAGAGGCATTTGGATCTGATGCTGGAGGATATGGTTTAGGATTTAGAGGTTCCAGCAGAGTGGCAGGTTAATGGTTGGACTATATAACCTTAGAGGTCTCCTCCAACCTTGATGATTCTATGATTCTATATCATGAATCAATACATATTGGAGAACTTCCTTACACAGCTTAATATGTTCCAACTTGACTGCCTTAATGACAAGCCCATGGAATTAAATATTGCCACTATGTATGACTGTCCAGTGTTTGGATACTTCATTTTAAAGAATGGTAAAAAAGAAGAAAAAAAATATTGCTGGTTTTCAAAAAGCTATATTATTTTCTCAGACAACCGATTTTTTTAACCCAAGAATAATGTGCGACCTTATGAAAAGCAGTGCTACTTTAATTATCTCTTAACAAAACAAACAAACAAAAAAGTAAAAAAAAAAAATCCTCAAATATAACCTTAAATATACTTACCTCTTTCAGAATTCTTTCATTAAAAAACTGCTGCAGCTTTTCATTACAGTAGTTAATACAGAATTGTTCAAAACTGTTGCGTTCAAAGTATTCTGAAAGACAGAGTTAAACTTTTATGTCACCGTTCCAAGAATTTATATTAAATAGCAAATAAGAGAAGCTTCACAATGCTAATATTTAAGGATGTGTTCAGATCCATATCTGTTTCTTTCAGCAAAATAAAAGCTATTGCAGATTTTCAAGTTGTACACATGACAGATCTAAAAATATTGCAGATCATATTCCTAAGACGGATGACAGACAGTTGGCAGCAAAGCAATGCAATATGCTACCATACACTGTAATTGTACCAATACATCCTCAAGCATCCATGCTAGAACAGGCTGGCACAGGATATCATAGCTCGAAAGACCTGAAAACCAAACCTTCTCTTGGACAACTTCAGCAGGGCTAGAGCACACCACAAAACATGCCCTGTTCTGAATCTCAGTGAGGCAGAGGACAAAAGCTCAATGGGAACTATCAACACTAAAAAGAAAACTCTCCCACTCTTCAGCACAGAATTTATCACTGAATCTTTTGTGGCAAGAACTGACAACTGGAAATTATTTTAAGTATACTTACCAAACCCAGCTATATCTAGAACTCCAATGAAGAAAGAAGAAGTCTCAAATGGAAAGCACTGGTTTACCCTTTTCACTACATGGTCAAACAGATGACTATAGACTGTTTTAGCCAAGGCATCACGAGCATTGTTTGCTTGTTCCACTTTCAAGGGTACCCTAAAAATAACCAAAAACACAGATCTTATTTTTCAGAATTCCTTACTTTGCAATACTGAGATTAGACCCTAAACTTAAAGACAGCCTTTCTAATTGCTGTAAATCAGGATGCAAAAAAAACCCTGAGCTCTAAGCTCAGGCAGGAAACAAACTTGCCAAGTCAGACTATCACACCTGTAAAAAGAAAGAAGACTGTTTCGGTATCATCAGTAGAAATGAGATGCAGATGTTTTAATAATTTTTTATTAGATAATTGGGAACTATATTGATAATTGCCAGAGAACAATATTTAAGACATATACGTCCTCACCTACAAGAAATATTTCAACTATTTACGAGCTGCTTCGTTACAATAAAGCCATCACTCCCAATGTACCCCACTTCCTCCTTCTCCCCACTTTATATACTCAGCATGATGTCAGATGGTATGGAATATCCCATGGGTCACCTGTCCTGGCTGTGTCTCCTCCCAACCTCCCATGTAGCCCCAACTTCCTCGCACGTCCTCACCTACAAGAAATATTTCAACTATTTACGAGCTGCTTCGTTACAATAAAGCCATCACTCCCAATGTACCCCACTTCCTCCTTCTCCCCACTTTATATACTCAGCATGATGTCAGATGGTATGGAATATCCCATGGGTCACCTGTCCTGGCTGTGTCTCCTCCCAACCTCCCATGTAGCCCCAACTTCCTCGCCAGTGTTACAAGAAGCGAAGCAAAAAAGGCCTTGGCTCTGTTCGAGCTCTGCTCAGCAATAACAAAAACATCTCTGCATTATCAACCCTGTGTTCAGCACAAGTCCAGAACATAGTCCCATACTAGCCACTGTGAGGAAATTAACTCTACCTCCACCCAAACCAGCATAGGTGGTGCATAACCAATTTTAGAACTTCTCAAGCAAACAGAAAATGTACATCTAAAACACAATCTCTTATCTGATCTATTCAGTAAGCCCTATGTCCAAGGTTTAAGATGTAACCCATATAAACCTGTGCTTTCACCCAACCAGGTAGTTTTCTGTATACTGAGAACTGGCAGGTCAGAGAAGCAAAACTTAACTCTACACAGCTGTGCTGGTTCTGGTTGGAGTAGAGTTAATTTTCTTCAGAGTAGCTAGTATGTTCTGTGTTTGGGATTTTGCTGAAAACAGTGTTGGTAACACAGGGATGCTTTCATTATTGCTGAGCAGTGCTTGCACAGAGTCAAGGCCTTTTCTGCCCTCACCCTACACCACCAGCAATGAGGTTGGGGTATACAGGAGTTGGGAGGGGACACAGCCAGGACAGCTGACCTCAACTGACCAAAGGGATATTCCATACCATAGATGTCATGCTCAAGAATAAAAGCTGGAAGAAGAAGGAAAGTGGGGGATGTTCAGAGTTACAACATTTTGTCTTCCCAAGTAACCATTACGCTTGGTGAAGCTCTGCTGTCCTGGGGAGCTGAACACCTGCCAACAGAAAGTGGTGAATTCCTTGCTTTGCTTTGATTGTGTGTGCGGCTTTTGCTTTACTTATTAAACTGTCTTTACCTCAACCCACAAGGTTTCTCACTACTACCCTTCCAATTCTCTTCCCCATCTCACCAGGAAGGAGTAAGCGAGTGACTGTGTGGGGTTTAGTTCCCTGTGAGGTTAACAGCAGCTCACCCTTATCACTTCCTTCATTCCACAGAATTCATAAGCACTAAACTAACTCACAATTATTAATTTTTTTCTTTCTTTCGGGGATGATACTTCTGATGCAGAAACATGAGACTGATGGAGATCACTTTCTATTGTGACAGGGAACCAGAGACTCTGTTCACTAAGGACACCTGCAGCTACATTACATTAGATAGTAATTAGCTTTAACACACAATCTTGTCTTCCACTAAGTATCTCCTCACTTATCTTAAGGTAATGAGTACTGACAGAAATCTTATCTTATAAATAGAAGGAAGGTACCTTTGCATTCTGTTCTGATACGTTTAAGAGATCAGAATACTAATTCCCATGTCAGCTGCAGGACTATTACATAATACAACACACTACAATCATTTATGCTTTATGTATCTTTTTAAACAACATGGCTAATAGTCATATTTCTAAAGCATGTATTCACAAAATGGTCCTGTTTTTCAAAACAGAAATTTCTGCCATTATTAAGTAGAATTCCAAGGACTGCTTGAAACCTTATTGTTAAATTTCATAGTATGCAGCAGAAACCCATGCAAAGAAAACTTAACCCTTCAAATGCATTTTGCACAGTTGGAAGTACAGAACCAGAAAATAATGCTGAAATTGCAATGAGACAGTAGATACACAAGAGCCCTCTTACAGAACCCATATTCAGAATGAGTAACTTCCTTCTCATGAACTTGCTTTCCCTCAGCAATTCTTTTCCTTTGGTCTGCACACAGACGAATCTTTTTCTTCCTCCTGTTTCTTGTCTGAATAGGAAAAGATAAATTCTCCTTCCTCCTTTTCACCTTCTCCCCCTCTCCTCCATCCATCAGCTATCTGTAAGGAACAGGGGAGAAATTTCTCCAGCCCTGGCAGTGTTCCAGGTCAGGTTGGTCTAGTGAGAGGTGTCCCTGCCCATGGCAGAGGAGATTGGGACTAGATGATGTCTAAGGTCCATTAGAAACCTTTTATATACTATGATAGAATTTTTCAAATTCTAAGCTCTTTGTTAAGGCTGCCACAAAAAAAACCTTTTGGTCTTCCTGCTAATTTCTTCAGCAAGATTTCCACTGATCTAGAGTCTGAGGCCTAGGGGAAAGCACTCTGATAGGCTGGATTCAGCTTGTAGACAATTGCAGTTCTCAAACACCTCCTAGAACAAATAAACTGCAATTAAAAATATGTATAGTTTGCACATGATTAACAATAATTAAGGGAGAGAGAGCAGGTGAACTGACACCCATCAATTACTGTCTCCCAATACAGTAACTGGTTCATAAATAAAATGGCCTGGATGAAATAACCCTACCTAGTAAAATACTTATAAAAAGAAAGAATATCAGCAGCATATTTGTACTTTGAGAAAAGCTGAAATTGCAGAAACAGTAGAAAAAAGCTTTTTTAAAAAAAAAAGTTCTTCCAATACAGACATCACTACGATTACTAAAAGAAAAGCATTTTGGTAGAAAATGTACTGTAAAAAAAGCTGGAGGACCTGGAATGATGTACCTTAATTTTTTCACACCGTAAAATAATTTACTTTGTGATGATGTAGTCCCCTTTGAAATTCTTACTGGAAAGGGAGAAACTGAGTAAGAGACTAGCACAGTGCATTTACAGTCTAAGGAAAGCAGCAGATTTTGAAGCCTAACACATTACTTCTCTCTGTAAACACACTTTACATGGATGGCAAAAACATCAGCCAACAAGGTGATCATTATGAGCTTTTGGGAGACAAGGACAGATAAAAATAGTGCAGCTGTCAAGTCTCCCTGGCAGTCCACTGCACATGAGTATCTAATAAAATTCAGAGAGATAGCATTTAGCATCACCCTCCTACTGTTCCTTGTTGGCTGCACTGTGCCCAGCAGAACAAAGCCTTTGTTTTACTCTGAGCACAGTGATTTCAGCTGAGCTATTTATTCACTGTGACCTATTAGGACTCACATGATCTACTTGCACACAAAAGGTCCCTAAGAAAGAGAGAGAGAGAAATCACTAGCTCTTTGGGTTGCGAGAACAAAACAAAACAATGTACTTGTCAAAACTCTAATACTGATAGCAATCAAATAGTTTCTAAACTATATTCTACCATAGGAAAAAAAATGGTGTCTATTTAATAAGTATATAAAATAGTCCAATACACTTTTCTTATACATGCAGTAAAGCATATAAGAAGATACTAGTGTATTTATCAGCATATATTTTCTTTTAGCTGTGCAAGTTTAGAAAGTGCTAGAGAAAGAGGTTTAATGCATGAATCCTTGAGATGGTGTAAGGAGACCTCTGAATTAATTTTTGCCACTCCCAAAATAAAACACTGGGGATAAATAAGATCTACTGGCACGAAAACATAGCTCCTTGTGTTTGCAGACTTTTGAAACAGTACACTGCTAACAACGCCCCAGGCTTATCAGGATAAATATGCTGAGCAGAAAATCTTTATGGTTTTAATCCAAAGTAAACTGGAAGCTGTAAGAAAAATTGTATTTGTTCATATGAAACCTTCCTTGGCAGTGTCACTTGAGATGTGGTTAGAGGGAAGCAGTATATTATGATGCACCTCTGCTTTAGTGCTTGATATGTCCCACCAAATGTTCTCAAAAGGAAACTAAACAGACAACTTTATCTGTGTGTTATGTGTACAACAGCCAAAACTAAACTATTTTCAGAGGCTGAATCAGCAGTTCAGTGAGAACATGGATACAATTTGGCCAAAGCCCTTCTGTATTTATTTAACATTTCCACTTACAAGGAATGTGAAAGTAAGGGCATTTTCACAAAATGGTCTAATAATGCTGAACTAAGAAAGCAGAAAATCTTGGAAACAAGATTATCATACAAAATTATTTTCACAAATTGATAATGTAAAAATCCACAAGATATATTTCAGTAAAGTAAAGCATGTGGTATGCTTAGGAGGATTCAAAACCACAGATGCAAGATGAGAATAACCAGGTAAGCAGTAAATCAATCAAGAAAGATCAGCAATTATAGTGGTTCACAACCTGAATTAAGTAAAAAGGGTTACTAACTTTCAAAATCTGCAATTCTCACACTGCCATTCATTAATATGAATACCATCTGTACAATATATCATTTTCTACACTATTGTTATCCATAATAGTGGTAAAGGTTGTCCTGGATGACTATATCAAAGATTTTTGCTGTTGATTGAGACATGGTCTGGAAGAGAGAAGTAGTAAAACTTGTAAAAATTGACCACTGGAGGCACTCTGTCCTGCAAGACTGACATCTTCCTACACTTAAAGGTTGCAATAAAGAGAAAAAAAACTGATTAGTAACTTTCCATATCATCTGATAATGCAGCAAGATGATAGTGACTAAAGGTCCCCAATTTCTAATAACTGAGGGAGAGAGAGGAAGAATTTACAAACACTGTCTGGAAATGGACTGCTGAATGTATTATGAAGAGATCTAGATCTGTAGGCAGAATAACATATCCCACCCCCCTCACCACCACCACCACCCCAAACCATTTTTCACTGCATTATAACTTCTTCCAGTCAGTATGAAGTTCTAACTCTCGAATGACTGTTCTTTCAAAGTACAGAAATAAGTAGACCATCAAGAAGTCTACTTGCTTCTCTCTCTAGAAATGCAACTCCAACATCAGCTATTTGGCAATAATGTATTTTACTTGAACAACAGCCCATATCCATTTTAAACTTAAGACTCCTGAATATGAGTTAACTCAGAAGAGCTTAGAAATATCCCATAGCCCATAGTTAGCTCAGAAATATCCCATAATGTTCAAACAACACGGGCAGCCATGGATGATTTATTATGCTCAAATTTTGGCCAGGGAAATCAGTTTCACCTTGGAGATCAGGAAAGGGGCACTGAACAGTATTTCCACTACAGCTATTTCTTCTCCTGCACAGAATTAGCACTTGACCACTGAAAACCTTCACTGCTCAAATCCATTACATCCCTTGAAGACTTTTTTAAAAAGTCAATGCTCTCAAGTGCTCAAAGATCAACTTTCTACCTTATTAGTCTCTCATAACCTAAGCATGCAGTAACTAATAGCTGCTGCCTTTACTGGCCAGTCCCATACCAGGGTTAAATCAATCAGCTCTTGCTTTGTTTCAGTCCACAAGTTTATGAAATGTTAACAAATACTTCATACTGTAAGTCATAAATAATAGTACAAAGTTTCAAAAGACAAAATATGTAAGGAACTTAAATAAAACCACATTCATGCATATAATTATTACTTGTGCATATTTAACTTCTGGTGCAATGCACATAAAGTACTTCCAATTCTCTAAAAAAAATCTGTTTCCATAAGTCAATAAGAAGCACACGTATTCTTCCAGTGCCCGAATGTTAATTAGTTTCCTAATTAAAAGAGGGTAAACCTTGAATTAAAATTACTTTTAATGTGTTCAAAACTGTTTAGCCCAAGTTCAGTTTTTGATGCAATGTTTTCTTGATCTCCAGAAAATACACAATATGGAAAACTAAGTGTTAAATCAGGCAATTCAGTTGCAGGCAGCTTAGCTAGCATCCCTGACAGCTTCTGTGCTCAGATCAATCTCAAGAAGAGACAATTTGTGGTGGAAGCTAGAGGTTTTTCATAAACAAAAGCCAACTGCAATGAAATCATTTCTATGAACTCAGTTTCACAAGAGTCATAACTTTCATGGTATAGAAATGTTATCATCAATGCCATGTTTATGTGTGTTCTTATTCCTTCTCCATGTGCATACAGAAAAAATAACTATCCTGCTTCTGTGTCTAGGAATTAACTTGATAATAGCTCAGAAAAAAAAAATTACCCACTTTCTATTAAATTTATCCTGCTCCACTACTTATTTTTTTTATGAAACACTAAAATTTACAGTCAAGATTAAAAGTTTGTTTGCCAGCAACAGTAAGAAACAGTACATTTTTGGATTACCATTTGCAGTGATGTATTTATAGCTGAAACTTAATTTCAGGAGAATTGGATGTGGCAAAATCAGCGACACTCATCACTCAGACATTAAGAGGGGAGGATATTCTGTCCTCTGACTAAAGCCTCCCAGATGATCACAGGGCAGCACTCACATGAGCACTGTGCAGCTCTCATGGCAAGACAGATTCATACATCTCCTGAAATACTTTAGGCACAGCATTAACATTCCTTGATACACTCTATCTGTTAAATCTCTCAGCATATCAAATTTGCTGCAGGCTATGGATGTAACAGGCTGAGTGCTATACCCTCTTTGGCCACACAGCGTACTCACTAACACACGAGAAGGTTTTATAAGACATGATGGTGACTTATTCAAAGCTTTTCTTTTCCTGAAGAAAAGCCTTCTAAGTCAGCCCTTATACAACTGCCACTCTTCCAAAAAAACTCCAATGACCTAACAACAACGAAACAAGCAAGCCCAAACGTCTAAAAATGTGCATTTGGATCAAGTGGATTAAAAAATAAAAAAATATTTGGGAGAATATTAGACTGAAAATGTTAAATAAAAATATTAGACATATAGAAAAATATTTTAAATAAAAATATTAGAACATTAATAAAAACATAACTAGAAATATTGGGAAATATCATAAATATTAGAAATAAAAATATTAGGAACAAATCAAAGCCCTGTTAAAAATTTGTCATCTCAAAATGATCACTTGCATGATGGAAAGGCTGTTTCTGTTTTGAAGGGGCTAACACCAAGTCTGCTACTCTTCTGCACTCAAGCTCTACCAGGGGAGGTTTAGGTTGGATATTAGGAAGAGATTTTTTACAGAGAGAGTGCTCAGGCATTGGAATGTGCTGCCCAGGGAGGTGGTGGATTCACCATCCCTGGAGGTTTTCAAGCTGAGACTGGATGTGGCACTTAGTGCCATGGTCTAGTGACCATGGTAGGGTTAGACTCGATGATCTTTGAGGTCTCTTCCAACCTGGTTGATTCTATGATTCTATAGGACAATGGGATTGTACTTATGTTTGTCAAACCATTAAAAAAGTACTTTAGATATCTGCACTTAGGCTGATTTCAACCCAGTTCACACTTCCAACTCGTCAGTAGGGGTTTGGGGCCACTTTTCCCCTTTCCCGATGGATCAGAAACAGACAGACAGTGTCGGGATGCAGATCCCGAAGGATTCGGGTGGGATGGCTGAGCAACAGGTTACCTCCGGGCAGGTCCCTCCGGGCATGTACCAGGGGCAGAGTGGGTGGTCTGTTAGCACATTTGTCCCCCCACTCCCATCCCATCCCATCCCATCCCGTCCCATCCCATCCCGCAGGGAGCAGGCAGAGCACTCACTTGATGACCGTTCCTTTGGTGCCCCCTGCCGTGGTGAGCATGACACGCGTGGTGAGGCTGCCACGAAGGTCATCCTGGTCCAGCCCGAGCAGAGTGGCACAGCGCTCCAGCGCGGGTTGGCTCTGCGGCCTCAGCGTGCAGCCCCCTGCGAACACACACACGAGTTACACACACACACACGAGTTACACACACACACACGAGCTACACAC